ACTGATGCATTGAGTAAGAAATCTTTGCATATGTCGATGATGATGGTAAGATAGTTAAAGATGATTGAGCAATTTCGAGATATGAGTTTGGTTTGTGAAGAGACTTCTCATGGAGTTAAGTTTGGTATGCTTAAGCTTACTAGTGGTATTCTTGATGAGATTCCGGAAGGTCAAAAATCTGATTTGAGTTTGGTAGATCGATTGACTTTGATCAATCAAGGTCGAGGTGGTGATTTTCGGATTGATGAAAATGATATTATGAGATGTCGTGATAGAGTTTATGTTCTGGATATAGCTGAGCTGAAAAAGAGTATTCTTAAGGAAGGGCATCATAGTGAATTAAGCATCCATCCGGGTGCTATTAAGATGTATCAGGAATTGAGGAAAATATTTTGGTAGCCTAGTATGAAGAAAGAAATTGCAGAGTTTCTGTATTATTGTTTGACTTGTCAGAAGTCAAAGATCGAACATCAGAAATCGTTGGGTTTAGTGCAACCGTTATCTACCTGAGGGGAAATGGGATAATATATTGATGGATTTTGTGTCTGGTTTACCCAGAACACCGAGTAATTGTGAGGTTATTTGGGTCATTATGGATAGATTGACTAAATATGCTCATTTTATTCCAATGAGAATGGATTACTCATTAACGAAGTTAGCAAAGTTGTACATTGGGAGGATTGTCAGTTTGCATGATATTCCGTCTAGCATTGTGTCAGATGAAGATCTGAGGTTTACTTCGAGATTTTGGGAATGTTTGCCAAATGCTTTAGGTACGAAGTTACGATTGAGTTCTGCTTATCATCCATAGACAGATGGTCAGACGGAGAGGACGATTTAGTCACTTGAGGATCTTGTGAAAGCTTGTCTGTTGGAAAAAGGAGGTGCTTGGGATAGCTACTTGCCTTTAATTGAGTTTACTTACAACAACAATTTTCATTCGAGTATTGGAATGACACCGTTTGAAGCCTTGTATGGTAGGAGATGTAGGACGCCATTGTGTTGGTATGAGTCGGGAGATAGTGTTGTGGTTATACCTGAGATAGTCCAACAGACTACTGATAAGATTAAGATGATTCAGGAGAAGATGAAGATTTCTCAGAGTCGTCAAAAGAGTTATCATGACAAGAAAAGGAAAGTACTTGAATTTCAGGAAGGAGATCATGTGTTTCTTAGAGTTACTTCGGTAACTGGTGTTTATTGGGCATTGAAGTCGCGTAAGTTAACACCGCGTTTTATCGGTCCTTACTAGATTTTGCAGAGAATAGGAGAGGTGGCCTATTAGGTTACTTTGTCAGCGTCACTTGCTAATCTCCATGATGTGTTCCATGTATCTCAATTGAGGAAATACATTGCGGATCCATCTCATGTAGTCCAAGTAGATGATGTGCAGGTGAGAGATAACCTGATTGAAGAGACATCACCTATGCGGATAGAGGATCAGGAGTTGAAGCAATTTTGAGGTAAATAGATTGCCTTGGTGAAGGTATCTTGGGGAGGACCAACAGGTGAAAACGTGACTTGGGAGCTTGAGAGTCAGATGAAAGAGTCTTATCCTAATCTGTTCGTTTGGGGTAATTTTCGAGGGCGAAATTCTTTTAAGTGGGGGAGGGTTGTAACACCCCAATTTTTATTAATTATTTATATATATTATATTAATTAATTAATTGTGTGATTTTGCACGTAATTGATTTATTTGAATTATTTTATTTGGTGAAAATGATATAGAAATAATAGAAATAAGATAATAGGGCCTATTGGATGAAAATGTGAAGAGTAAAGGTAGGGGTATGAAGAGTAAGCCCATTAGTTATTAGAATTAGTTGTTATAAGAGTTTTATATATAAAGAGAAAAATAGAGTTAATATGGAAAAAAAGAAGAAAATAAGCTAACATAAAGAAAAGGAAAAGAGGAAAAGAGGAGAAGAAAACCTAAGGAGGAAACTCAAGAGTTCATCAAGAAACCAAGGTAAGGGTGAGTCTTTACATGGTTATGGGATTGTATGATAATGTATGATGGGTAGTATCATATTTAGGATAAAAATCCCTAATTTCTATTGTTTTGAAATTGATGATTACATCATGTATGATGGTAGGATCCTTAAATATGTGTCGTGGTATGTTATAATTGTTTGAGCTTTGACACGGCCCGTGTCACCTGACACGGGTGGTCGTGTCAGCCCCCCTATTTTGGAGTGCAAAAACGTGATTTTTTGACTTTGGAGTGCCACGGGCCGTGTCCCCTGACACGAGCGGCTGTGTCAGCTCACTGGATTTCATATTTGGAATTGTCTCGATCATAACTTTTGATCTATAAATCCGTTTTGGTCCCCATTCGAAGCATCAGAAAGCTAATGAATAAAGCTATAACATAGTACAGATAAGATAATTGGTTGCCCAATATTTTTATATCTAATATTTTTGGAAAGTCAATTGTGTATATGTTCTATTAATAAATTGTTGCACTGTTTGCTGCCGGTTGTGAAATTAATATATGTTATATTAATAAATTGTTGCACTGTTTGCTGCCGGTTGTTGAATACTTGTGTGTGACAACATGAAATGCATAATTGTTATTGCTTGTTGTAATTATGATACAATTGTGATTGTATTGTAAAATATATTGTATACCATTTTAAAGTGAATTGTATGTGGATGATTCATAAATATGTGCAAGTATGTGTAATTGTGTGGTAACTCAATTAAGATGAATTACTGAAGATATGAATGGATGTTAAGATTGAGAGATGATCTTAATCCTTGAATGTTTTTTGTCATTTACAGTTCATATTTTCGATAATTCTTGATCATTGAATGTTTTTTTATTTTAATTTGAGGGTTGGATCTTCCAGCTAGAGGTGTACATGGGTCATTTGGGTTGGGTTTGTCTAAAACTATAACCCAACCCACGTAAAGTATACTAGTTTGGGTGAGGTAAAATAACCATCCATAACATCATTGGGTCAGTTTGGGCAAAATCATAAATTTATGGGTTAGATTGAATTGGGTAGTGGGTCACCCATTTTTCTTCTTTTTTTTCTTAGATAATTATAAATGATGTGTTATATTATTTTTCAAAAAAATATCCCAACTATTTATTTCTTGAAAAAAAGTTTAGCCGTATTAGCGCTATTCTTTTAACATCAAATGTCTAAACATTCTATAAAATTTATAATAAAAATATTTGTCAAAATCAAAGTTGTAATATGGTAGTACCTAGAACAAGAATTACATAAATTACTCAGAACTTACTAGTATTCACATCAAAATAATCAAAGTGCAATATCATAAATAACTCAAAATCATGACTCACAAAATAAGAGCCTAAAATTGAAGAAACCAAGTATGAATACATCAAAGTCACCATTTATCTAATTTTAAAAAAAGAGTCAAGAACATTGTTCAAATATCTTCCATAATTCAAAATGGAGTCTTGACTTCAACATTAATACCTTCAACCAAATTCCAATGATAAATATATAAATATTAGTTTATATATCAAGTCTTAAGAGACCTAAAAAACAAAATATATCATAATTAATAGTAAATTTTTTGGATTCAGTGGGTTGAGTGGGTTTTGTGGGTTGGGTATGAGTTTATCCGAAATCTGTATATTTTGAATGGGTTTTCATTTTTGAAAACAATATTGACCCACTTACCCGTTCAAACCCGTTTTTTGGGGTTGATTTGGGTGGGTTTGATCGAATTTATGGGTTTACCCAACCCATGTACACCCCTATCTCCAACGCTTCCTGCACATCGTTGGCTGAGCGAGTGTGGATAAGTGAGTACACTGAGGATATGTCGCGTGCACGTGATTTTATCATGCTCATAAGGAACCAGACGGTTGAGCCTTTCAAACTCTATCTTGACCATTTGGTTGCTGATGACATCCACTTCAACAACCACTTAGATCACCGTCAGACGCAACCATTTGTTAACATAAGGTATACTCTAGATGGTTGGCCTGCAGATCGTGTATCACTGTTCCTCATCTGGAAGAGTGTGTCATGCAGCAGTTCGGGTACACCCAGACCATCCCCAGACACCCTACTATTTTTGCTCCTCATGCCTTGTCTCGTAGACAAATAGAGGAGATGTTTGCTGATAATGAGAGTCACCTGATACCGGAGGAGACACAGGTTACCATAGCACCAAATGACTGGAGCTACGTCGATGGGTATATCAGGTGGTTATTCAAGGTGTCACATTCGTACATGGTGAAAACTGCTTCAAGATATCCGCCGAGACCAGCTCATTAGGCGATACTACAGGAGGAGTAGACTTAGCTAGATCATATTGGTGATGTCTTACCTAGGTGTCGTCGCATAATGGAGATTTCGCGGACAGAAATTGACTAGGGTATCTTCCATGAGGGTTCTGCTGTCAAGCGAGTCCTGGATGCCATGGTGGAAGAGGCACATGAGACACTATTGTACCAGAGACATCGCTGAAGGATGGGGGATTGATGGCCGAGGAGGCAGAGCCGACAAAGGAGACAGAGGAGGTATATGAAATGTTGTCGGACAAACCCAATAGTGATCTGTTATTATTTTGTTGTAGTACTATACTCTCTATTTTATTAGTATTGTTTTATTACATTTTGGATCTCGATTGTGCAACATTTTTTACATATATTGTTATATTATTTTTGACACATCCCGTACTAGTCTCTTATTATTTTGTACGTCTAATTTTTTATTCGAAATCGTGCTTCATTCTTCATCTGAAAACAAATGCACAATTCATAGTAAAAAATACATGTTTTAAAATTTTTTAGAGATGTATCTTCAAAATATTTCTATAAATACTATTTAAAACAATTAAAATATAAATAATTTATGTGTGACATGTTCTAAATATTTAAAATAATTTCGAAAATATATCTCAAATCTTCTTTTGAAATTAAGATGCATACATTAGATAAAAAGGGTGCAATAATAAATTCTTCTCAAAAATCTATGTCCTTTGGCATCTTCGTGATTCAAATAGCGTAAGCAATGGCAGACAAACCTAGCCGATCGCTGGTTCTATACGGTGACGGTTTAGCTCGTTTCATCAATCCATCTTCTTCGCACAACCACCATCTCCACTCTCTCGCTTCTCTTTCTTCCTGCGGTTTATTGTCTCTCTCCCATTCTCCTCGCCCAGGTTCCCTTCTCTTCTTTTCCATAACTATAACCTCTAACCTAACCCACACTTATTCAATAATCAGTTATATTCTCAAATTCACTTGATTATATGTAGTTTTCAGAAACCGAAGATCAAAGAATTGTCAGAGAATTCGCACTGCTTCTCGATGCATTCCAAGTTGATGATCCTCCAAAACAAACCTTACCTAATAGGTATTTTCTCTTACCTTTTTTCTCTGTTTTTCATTTTTATTTATAAAAATTTGTTATTTAGTTTATAGAAAAATCTGTGTTTACCTATTATAGTTTGGCGATAATCAAATGCTGGATTGCTGAAATTTAATGTATATAGTGAGTTATTAAACTAGGTATTACAAGGTTTTAACTGCAGTCGTGTAAAGCCTTTTGCGATTTCGTTCAGGATAGATGTTACTACACTGATTGTGGTCGTTGTGGTATAAATTAACCATAATTTGTTTTTATCACAAAAACAGTGAAAAACTGTATCGGTATCTGAACCTTTCAATACCGTTTTGTCGGCGGCCGTTTTTGTGGTTACGGACCGTTTTTTAAAAATGTAACATTTGATCTCATTGTTTAAAAATGTATAAACAATTTACGATGTTAAAGTTTAACCATGATGATGTTTTAGGGTTCACAATCATTGTTTTTTCCAATTAGATTTGTTGTTGGTTGGTAGGAATACAATGTTACATAAAACTTTTGCATTTCCTTCTTTGGATATAGGTTTATGGGAATGAAAGCTTCTATAGTCACCAACCATTCAGGGTTGAAATCTTTTGGTTCCAACCTTGGGTTAAGTGTTATCCAGCTCGATGAGTTGGTGAAACAACGCACTTCTGAATCGCAAGACAATGATGTTGTGGCTGCTGAGCTTCTCAACTTGCTTGGTTTTCAAGAAGGGAAGGTCCAAGTCAATAGCCAATTTGATATTGTGTTCCTTCACGTTGGAGCTGGTGAAAAGGTTGATGGAAGTGAACAAAATGCTGATGTGGAGTGGGTGGATGCATTTGTTGGTGCAATAATGAGACAGGTGCAGCCGGGATCTGATGTTGGTTCTCGGTTGCACTTGTCTGTTGTTGTGAGCTATGGCAAGGTTTTGGAGGAGGATGAATCGAGGTTTTCAGTGTTAAAGAAGGCTGATGAGAAGGACTCTTGTTTTTCAACTCTTTATCCTCTACAAAGTTATGCTATGAAAGGAGGAGTTCCTCGGAAGGATGTGAGGTAATTTAAGGATTTGGTAGATAGGTTATTTCTATTTGATGTTTGGTGCGTATTAAAATGTAGAGTAGATCATGGCAGGTGATTAAAAATCCTTGTATGTTTTGGTTCCACTGTAAATGTGATACTGAACAAAACATAGGTTGAATTTTGATTAACTTCTAGTTTATGGAAGCTTTTCAATAAAGATAAGCTAATAGTTCTTTGCATACAACAATGTTAGCTTTTAGCAGAGTTGTCAATAGCGGCCAATAGCCGCACTATCCTACTATAGCGGAGCGGAGCGGAGCGGAGCGGAGTCCGACCTCTTTGGGAAGAGCCTTTACGGTGCAGAACACTATAGCAGCTGCTATAGGGTAAATAGCAGGATAGCAGAGCACAGCGGTTCTCGGCCCAGAGCGGTTTTTGGCCCGCTATTCTTTTTCCCCCTAAAAAACCAAAATTACCCCTTTAAGACGTTTTAAGGATAATTATGGGATTTTCAATCAAGTTTGAGTTGAGATTCAATTTTAACCTTCGTCTATGCACTTCAAGAGTTACGTGTGATTTGATTTATCCATATTTCATGAGTTGAGTTATTTGTTTAATTTTACATTAAATATATGTTTATAATTATTATATGTAATTTATCCAAAAAATGATCAAAAGAGCGGTCATCTCGCTATTCCACTTTTCGGGTCGTCCACTCCGTGTTGCTATCCGGGAAGGCTTTTAGATTTTATGGAGAAGTTAAATATCATGAGAGCTGAAAATTTAAGATGCAAAAGCTAATTCCAATCTATACGAGAAATTGGTGTTTAAAAAATGGTGAACACTCTCAAACGTATCATAGAATTCTTCAATATTAATGATTATTGCAAGATTATTTTGATGTAAGTGCTTATATAGACGTTTATTTAAACTTACATGCTGTTTTGCTTTGTTCTGTTTGTGTACCAAGCACTAGGTGCTCTAGTTATTAATATCATTATCAGGAGTCCCTGTTTTCTTCTTGGATTGTCTTGCATAATTACCTCCATACCTAATGTTGCAGGCACCATTTGCCCATGTTAATTGCTCAACTGCAATATGGTGTGACTCGCAAAGATAATGCACACAAGTTTTCCTTCCAAGACTTCACAGAGGTTTGTTTCTGAGATTTGACTTTGGGTTTTATTCACAAGTTTGAAATTTATTCCAATCAGATTTTCTTCTTTTTTCTTTGGTGCACGACTTATTACAAAGGCCTTGCTCTATTTCTTGCTCTTAATATGTGTTTTTACTTCTTTGTCCACATACTTTAAATCTTTGGTGTTTCCAAGTTATTTACCTACATCACATATATGCTTGAGTGATTTTGCCAAAATATGCCACATACAATCTATGAAGCCCTGATACCTTATGTTAAAGGCGCGTTTGGTGTCTGACATGTGTCATGGTCTGATCCCAACGCCGACATATTCAAGTATTTCATTTTCTCATACTATTCGCGTCGACATGTTAGTGTAGTGTCTGGTGTTTATGTCCGTGTTTGTAGCGCATACAATTGATTCTGAAGGTGACACTGTAATGATTCATTACTCTGTAATTGCTTCACTTTAATGTGTTTCTTTTGTGATGCAGAATGGTGGAAATCTTACAATACCGGCAGATAGGTTCTTACATGAGATAGCTTTTAAGTTGTGGAAAGCTCCAAAATATGGAGCTTGATTCCCATGTCCCTCTTCTTTTCAACTCATTGTACGCCTCTTCCCATAGGAGCAGGGGTATTTAAATGTGTCCAACACTGTCCACCGACGTTCCTTAACATGTTTATGTTTATTTTGTATTCTAAACTCTGTTACCTCATGTAATAACCAAGATTTGGATGATTGGATAGTACATCTACCCCCTCTTCTTGCTTTATGTTTGTAAAAAAATGACAGTAACACATAACTTAACTCTTTTCAAAACCATGTTATTAGTGACTTTTCTTGAGTAAAGTAGAATTTTGATCCTTGAAATTGCAAGGATTGGACAAATTGGTCCCTCAAACATTTAAAATAAAAATTTAGTCCTTTAAATTAAATTTGTTTGAGAAGGGGAAGCAGTGGGAATGATAAAATCAAATTTGTTTGTATTTTTTCTTTTGTTACATATCAAACTATCTTTTTGATTTGGTCAAAAATAGCCTAACTCGTCATGAAATCATACCAAAAAATGGACTTTTTACTGGTTATTACTGAAGCTTATCATCAAAATGGTTTGGAAGTGTTGGAGTAATCATGTGGCTAGTGGCTACTCTTTTAGTTATTTTTTTTTCCTATTTTCTATTATAATAACATTCTCTTAAAATTAAGAAGAAGAAAAACTCTTCTTGCAGCACTCAGCGCAATTTTTCTTCCTGCTGTCGTCATACAATCATTCTTGGCTTTAACAGATGGAGGGGATAGACATTGGCCGTGGCAGCAGGTGAAACCCATTAGGAGTCCTCTATGACAGAACCCACAAGGAGGTTGCGGTGGCGGTAGGACTGGAAATGAGTCGAGTTGAGTCGAACTCACCTCAGCTCGGCTCGACTCGTTAAAAATTGTTCAAGTTCGCGTTCGAGTTTGACACGAATTTTTTTTTAAGCTCAAACTCGACTCGTTATAAGTTCACGAACAGTTCGGTTCAACTCGTTAGGTTCATCTCATTAAGTTCAGCTCACATGATTCACTGACTTAAAAACTATTTTTAAAAATTTATATATTTTTTAGTATATTTGACATTTTAAATAAATATATTTTTTTAAAATAAAATATTAAAATAAAATAAAAGTTATCATATTGAAATTTAACTTTATCTTCGAAATCTACTAATTCAAAACCTACACAACTTTTAAGAGATACATTTGAGAGTCTAATTCAAAAACTACTAAATTGAAGATTAAATTTGTCTAAGATTTGAAGTAAATATTTAAACCTAATCTTAAAGACAGTATAATTCTTCTCATATGTAATCGAGTTGACTCATGAACCTAACGAGTCGAACTATGTATAGTTCAAGTTCAGCTCATTTAGTTAACGAACTTAATTTTTCGCTCATACTCAACTCATTTGGTTCATGAACCTAGTTCAACGATTTAATTGTCGAATCGAATTCCGAACTATTTTCAAATAGAAAGAAATGTTAGGATTGCTGCCACCATGTTTCTCATTAGGTTCATCTCATTTGGTTCATGCTGAAAGCTTAATGTAAAGCCCTCATTCTAGAAATAGAAAGAAAGTAATGTGGATCGTGCACTTCAGGCTGATAATTGAGATCAAGGGAAAAAATTCTCCTTAACTCAATTTTCTTTTATTTCGGAGCAAATAGACAAATTGGCCGAACTCTTCGAGTAATAAACTCTTTTGTGTTCTATTGTATAAAAATGTATCTGTTTTAGTTTCAATCTCACTCTTAGTTAGATAGTTGATTCAACTGCCACAAGTCACATGACAAGTGACTCCACATCATTTTTTTCATATAGTCTTTGGGCAGGTAATCATAAAATCAAAGTCGCAGATGACTCTTTTTTAACCACTGTGGGTTCAGTTGTGTTGTCTCCAAGTCTCACACTTATAGATGTCTTTCATGCTCGAAATCCATCCTAAAGCCTACTACTAGTTAATAAGCTGACATCTGGAAAAAAAATTCAAAATAATTTTTTTCATAATTATTGTCTTTCAAAAGTTGACCTCAGGGATGATGATTGATAGTGTTAAGAAGAACAAGAGACTCTACTACTTCGATGTTGGTGATGATTCACAACAACCTTCTACACAAATAAGTTATGATTTTAAGTCTATTTTTACTTTGATAATGATGAAAACGTTATGGTATGGCATTTACAACTAGAGCATCCTAATCTTCGATATTTGAAACACTTATTTTCTAAGTTATTTAATAATAATTTGTATTCTTTCAAATGAGAAGCTTGCGAATTTGCAAAACATCATTGTTTTCTTTTTTTCAAGAAAGCCTTATAAACTATCTAAACTTTTTTATGTTATTCATAATGATCTTTAATGACCTAATTGTACGAGTACACCCTCTCTCAAAAAGTGGTTTATTAAAATTATCGACAATCACTCAATAGTATGTTGAATAGACTTGTTAAAGGGAAATTTTGATGTTTTTCAGGCTATAAAGGATTTTTTAAAATGGCGCAAACTCAATTTCAAACTAATATTCAAGTCTTTATTAGTGATAATGACAACAGATATTTTAACACTATGTAGTGGGATAATTGAGGAAGGCCTTAGAGCAAGGGCGCGAGGCATGCACAATATCCTTCAGAGTCACCCCTCCATCAGTTTGAGCGTCTTTCCTCTAGTTCGATTGCCCCTTGACTAGATATGTCGCTCAACTTTCCATTTTATGTTCCATAACGTGCATTTGTGAGTATAACATGTAATTAGACAACAAAACAACGTCGAAAGAAACGTGGGGTCTAACCTTTTCTCTGAATTTCTAGATATTGACCACTCTCTCTCACGAGGGTCGTGAGGAGATAAGAAGACTTGGTTCGTTTCGATCTAAGGTTCCTAGAAGACTATAAATACAAGAGGTCTCGAAACAACATGATCAATCTCTAATGTACACAAAAAAACCACCATACAGAGGTTCTCACCATCTCTGTGTGAGCTAGCTCTAAATCTTAAACCTCTGACAACTCTAATTCACTTAGAATTGTCCAACTCATTATACTTTTATCCATTACACACTAATTTAAGTGATTTTTTTTCCCGTCAAAATGGGATAATACATCAAAGCACATGCCTTCGTACCTCCCAACAAAATGATATTATGAAAAGAAAAATTAGACATTTGTTGGAAGTAGCTTGCGTTTTATAGGGTGAAGCAATTTTAACAACTGCATGCTTAATAAATAGAATTCCTTTCAAAGTTTTTAATTGTCAAACTCATATTGATATTTTTAAAGAATGTTTTCCAAATAACTGTATGTCTTCTAATCTAACGCTAAATTTTTTTAGGTGTATAACTTTGGTTCATGAACACAAAAATATTCAAACACTTGACCTCGAGCTCAAAACTATGTTTTTTATACTCTCCTACTTAAAAAGTCTATAAATATTTTCACCTACAGAAAAAAAAGTTTGTTACTATATACATGACATTCTTTTAAAACAATTTTTTTAAAACTAAAAATCGTCTTCAGTGAGGGACTCTTAAGAAAGAAGACTCATTTCAAACTGACAACATAATTTTTTTCAACTCACCTATGCCAATATCACAAACTTACCGAAAAATGATATAAATGACACGACAAAGGTAAAAGAGAAACTAGCTAACGACTTTGAAATCAAAGACTTAGGATCCTTGAGATACTTTCTTGATATGGAGGTTGACCAATCAAAGAAGGGAATAGTTGTTTCACAATAAAAATACATTCTAGATTTACTAAAAGAAACTGAAATGAGTGGTTGCAAACCAATCGATACTCCTATGAAACCTAATGCTAAATTTTGAGAAAAATGAGAGGTTCATGTAGACACCGGAAGATATCAAAGATTGGTTTTAAAACTAATTTATTTGTCTCACACTGAATTTGACATTGTCTTCTCAGTAAGTGTAGTAAGTCAGTTCATGCATTCTTTTTTTAGGAACATCTTGAGGTTGTTTATAGAATCTAAACTATCTGAAGGCTGATTCAAAACAATGATTTTTTTTAAGAAGACGGGAAAAAGAAATGTCTCTATATTCATTAATGTTAATTGGACATGATCAATCACAACTAAAAGATCTACCTCTGAATATTGTACCTATGTATGGGGTAATTTTGTAACTTGGTGAACAAGAAATAAGGAGTTGTAGCAAGTAGTACACGTCAAATTTAGAGCTATGTCTCAAGGTATTTGTGAAAGATTACATATCCACAGAGTTCTAAAAGAACATAAAATAAAATTTAAGCTTCTGCTAAAATTTTACTCAAATTGTAAAGCAGTCATCTACATAGCTCATTATTCAATCCAACATAACAAAACCAAAAATATTGAGATATATCATCATCTCATAAAAGAGACATTGGATGTCAGTCTCATATGTCTACCATTCGTCGCCTCTAGCCAACAAACTATAAACATCCTTATCAAAAACTTAATTAGATCTACATCTGAGCATCTTGTAGGTAAGTTGGACATGATAGATATACACACCAACTTAAGGGAAGTGTAAGAGCAATGTCGTGTTTTAAGGTGTGCAATTCAGACTACCACGAATGACCTAAAATTTAATACAGCTAAACTATTGATAAAAAATACTTATAAAATATTTATCATGGTTAAACTATGAGATAACAGGATCTCTGATTGTTGTCACCGCTAATCTGTGGCTAACCAATACAAAGCTTCAAAAAATTTAAGACGACTCTATATTAGAGTAATATAGTGATTGTTGAGAATAACAAGTGTGAGTAGTGTGGGGATGCCCCACATTTGTTAGAAATGTGGAGATTTGACCATTTATAAGTGGTAGAGTCCACACACCTATCCTGTTAAGGTTTTGGGTGAGTATGTCGAGGCTCTCACAAATGTATTGCTCATAAAAAAATGTTCCAAAGTGAAAAATATTCTCTCGTATTGACTCGTCGAATTGAACCCAATAGTGGTATCAAAGTCTGGTTTGAGTGAAGGGACCGACTCACTTGTATCGAAAGTATTTTCACATGATTGTGGATAATGTCTAATTGAAGAGTGTCAACGACAATACAAATATATGTGATAAAAAAATTAGCTTCCACTTGAGGAGGAACATTGTGGATAGACTCACATTTAAGAGAGAGTGTTGAAAATAACAAGTGTGAGTAATGTGAAAAAATCTCACATTAATTATTAATGTTGAGACTTGAATATTTATAAATGAGAGAATTCACAAAACTATCACCTTAAGATTTGTGGTATGAGGTGCGTCTCTCACAAAGATGCATTGCTCGTAAAGAAAGATCCCAAAGTGAAAATTTCACCCTTGTTTTGATCCCTAATTGATCCCAATAGTGATTATTGTTATTTTTATTTTTATTTTACTCTTCTAAAATTAAAGAGAATTAAGTTGAAATAAAATTGATGAAGAATAAAATAGAGTAATCTTTATATTTATTTTCTATTAAGTAATAGCCAATTTTCTTACTGATTTTCATTTGGCTGGCTCACTTTATTGGATTCCTATTTTAAGTACGGGAAATATACAACATCAACATTTCTCAAAATAAAATTTTACAATTAAGGGACTGTTTAGATTGATGGAAAGAGATGAAATGAAATGGAGCGGAGTGGAGTTATGTTCCATTGTTTGGATTTACAAAAATTGAATGGAATGAAATGGAGTATTATGGAACACATTTCATCCAATACCACTAATTTGGTCCATTTTTCATTCCCTCAAATTGGGGTGTATCCAATGGGATGAAATCAATTAATAAAACAATTACAATTTTATCCTCCAAATTTTCACTTTTATTATTAACCGTTCCTATTCCTTATTTCAATCAACATGATATTTTTCTATTCATTCACTGTAATTTTTCTCCTTCACAGACCTTCTTCTTGCTTGCAAAGAGTTTATCTTTCTTCTATCCTAACAAGTTACATCATATTTCTTCTCATTTTTTTACCTGTATTTATATGTGTGCTCTATTAAATTAAATACTTGATTTATCTTCATGTTCATGTTTTTTTTTCATTTTTCAGAAATTAGATATAGTTACTAAAAACAAAACCATAGTGTTTTGTATGTTAAATTAACTTTTTATTAAGAACAAAAGTAGAAATTAGATTTGTTACAAAATTATTGTTCCTGTTGTTTTTCACTACTATTCACGTTGATTGTATTCTTATTATGTATAGAGAAAAATTAAAATTAGTTACTGTAACATAAAATTGACTAATAATATTATGTAGTATAATAGAAATAAATTATTAGTAACATAAGTTTTGATTTGCTATAAAGATTCTTAATTAATTTGGGGTTGAAATTATATATTTGATTTGTTTAAAAAATTCTTAATCTATTTGTTCTGATTTTGATATGATTTATTTTATTTGTTATAAATATTTTAATTTGATTTATTTGTATATGGATTTATAATTAGAGTAAATTTTACTGTTTAATTTGTTATAGATGACTAACGAAGACATAAGAATCAAGTATATGAAATTGGTTCAAATTATGATTCTTCAAGTATCTATCATTATTGTTCTAATATGTTCGCTAAAAAACAAGCGTAGAAGATTGCAAATACCTTATAGAATCACAGAGCAAAAGAGAAAGTTAGAAACGAGTTGATGAAACATATTGTAGGAAGTGAGCGATGTTATGATATCATTCGTATGGGTCCCAAAGCTTTCTTAAACTTGTGCACCTTATTACAAGATCAAGGTGGACTTACACATACACGAAGAGCGTTTATCGAAGAACAAGTAGCAAAATTTCTTCATATAGTAGGACATAATGTTAGAAACCGTGTGATGTCCTTCTTTTTTAGACGCTCCGGTGAAACTGTTAGTCGTCATTTTCATAGAGTGCAAGATGCTTTGATAGAGGTGGAGGGAAAATTTTTAAAACAACCTGATGGAACACAAGTGCCTCCGCAGATACTTAATGGCCATAGATTCTACCCGTATTTTAAGGTAAACAAATTTTTAAAACAAATTTTAAAACAATTGATTAGTTTTCTTGTACACTTTTAATATATAAATTTAATGTCAAGACTGTATTAGAGCAATTGATTGCACGCATGTGCGTGTTAAAGTTCCAATAGAACTCGCGCCTAGATACCGTGGTAGAAAAGATTATCCCACACAAAATGTGTTAGCTGCGTGCTCATTTGACTTGAAATTTACATATGTCTTAGTTGGATGGGAAGGAACTGCTTCAGACTCAAGAATAGTTAAGAGTGCGTTGGCACATGCACACCCTCTTAAAGTTCCACAAGGTAATAAAAAATATTTGTATAAGTATTTAGATTAGCTAAACTAATGGACTCATTATTTTTTTTAGGAAAATATTATTTGGGTGATGCGGAATTTCCTTTAAAAGCATGTCTCGTTACACCTATAGGGGAGAACGATACCACTTACAAGAATACTCTAGAAAGCAATTTCTTTCAAGTGTTAAGTTGATATTTTTCTATGGTTACTTATATATTATTTTAGTGTGAGAATGTTGGATCTATCAATATTATAGTAAAGGGTAAAAATGGAATAAAAAAGTTATAATGTTTTCTGCTCCGTCCAATTCCCAAACAGTGGAATGAGATATTAGTTCCGCTCCGTTGTAAAATATCCAAACAGTAGAATAAAATTTATATTCTGTTCCATTCCATTCCACTCCATTTTATTCCGTTCCATTCCGCTCCGCTCCGCTCCGTTATTTTTAAATTATCCAAACATAGCCTAAAAGACATGCTACAAAATGATATTAAAAAATTATACCATTGAATATGATTGATGCAATACAAATGAATGGATGCAAAATAACTTCTGTATTGTCATCATTTTATACTCATCTTCACATAAATATTGGAGCATTGTATAGCATTGCTCATTTCATATACTCATCTTCCAATTTTCATTTCACTTTACTGCTTAAAAAGAAGTATGAAAATCTGCAACTTGTAATTCACAAACGCTTGAATGAGATAGTTCAAATTTATTTATTTCTTGTTCCAATAACAATCATGACCATCCTTCAATTCAAGAGTACATTTAGCACTCTAATAAGCTTTTGACTAGGTAAGTACCCAATAGAAACCACCCAATTAAGAGTAAAGAGAAGGATAGTAACCCAAGTAAGAAGGGCCAACCAACCATGAAAATACCTATGCAAACAACCACAACAAAAGGCAAGAAAGACCTTACAATAGACCAGAAATCAACCCAATGCCCCTTGAATAGTATCATGATTCCTATATTTACCATGTTCCAACTCATTGATCCACCATAACACAGCCTATTCAGACAATTAGCAACAAATGAGTGACAGTTGCATGTGAAAAGGTTGTAAGTTTTACTCTCGAAATGCCGCAAACTTGTCGATAAGGCATCGTCCCATGTGATTGCGGTTCCATACTCAGCATGCCGGTAGCCATGTTTGCATGTATGCGCTGATAGGTTAGGAGGGAAGCAACACTGCAAATATCTCAGGCGTGTCATAGAAGAGTTAACATTTTTAAACAAGTAAAAAATTATCAATATTGCAGTTAGTTGTTGTGAATCGTGAACACAGGACACAGATACTCTGACACCTATTTAAGGTGTGTCTAAAGATGTGTCGGTGTCTGAAACGTGTCTGATACGATACTTTAGAGAGGCGTTTGTACTTCATAGGTGAATCATGAACAATCTGAACAAACAGAGGGCGACAAGAGAAAGATATGGTAAATTTGAGAGAAATGTACCTGTCTACGATCGAGTTTCATGTATCTTGCTACTTGACCAAATGCAAAATCATCCACACCCACATGATATGATCCTGAAAAATCTAAAACAGCTCCATCCTCCCTGCAAATGCCAACATGACCAATGAAGGGTGCCAACCATGAGACAACTGGAAGTGGATTCCAAACCAAACAGCATGGAAACTTTGCGTTCTTCAGATCAATTGGATCTAACGGCCACAACTCATGCTCCAGTATTTTTTGAGTAGAATTTGGTGTCTCGATGTCATAACTTGCCTCTAACTCCATCACGAAAGTTTACAGCACAAGATATATCTTTGCTTAAATTTTTATGGAGACGGATGCATCACTGTATCAAACTACTCCACCAGACATCTCAACTCTGCTCACAATACATCATAAAGGTCATGTGAGAATATTTATAAGTCATCAATTCGATAAAACTAAGTTGTCAATAAGAATATTCTTAGATACCAAAATGCATAACTTAGATAGCAAAATCAAGAATCAATAACCAAAGCATAGTATAATTGTTATATATTTATGAAAATCATGGTTAATAACATTCAAAATCACGGTCCATTATGTTAAACGGACTGTTACTGAGTCGCAACATCTTGTTATATTCATTAACCACCCACCAAAAGCTGCATTATCCATCCAAATGTTGTCGAAATTCAAACGAAGAACAACAAAGTAACCACCATACCCAATGTCAAACAACTTATTGATGCAGAAAGCCAATTACAATCTACGAAGCACGACACGGATACAGACGCTGACACACACCTTTCTTTCAGAGTTGTCGGTGATACAGAGATCACAATACTAATAGAAAAGAACACACAGAGGTGAAATCAAGTAAACACCAAACCAGGTTTTAAATTGACAACAACAAATCAAATACTATAACTATGCAAGCAAATCAATAAACTCCAGTACCCAAAAAATCATAAAAACAAGAACAATAGGCAACAAAAGAAAATCCATACTTTCAGCTGAAGTGGTATGAAAACCTAGATGTCTCAACTCAATACATTGCAAATAAATAAATAAATAAATAACACAACAACATCAATGTTATAACATTCTTAAAAACAAAATTAAAATTGAAAATAATTGTGTGAAGTAAACTAATTTGTTGTGTAAAGAAATTACCTGAAGCAAAGGGTATAAGAAAATCTAAGACAGAGGGAAGATTGAAAGAAACAGAAGAAGTTGGTGTGGTCATTTTACTATACACAAGATTGGTAAGATTTATTGTGAGGATGAAACAAGTTGGAAAAATAAAATAAAAAAACGGAAAAAAAAGATCAAAATTAGAATTTTTGATATCTGATATAATAATTTATTAGTGATTTAATGGTTACTACTTTATTTGGGTTGGTTTGAAACAGAAGCAAGAGACAGAAAGTTGGAAAGGTGCATGAACCCTTTGCAGATATTTCATGTTTTTCTTTCAGTGGGCCCCTTTTACCATCTCCTTTTATTTATTTATTTATTTTACCTTTTATTTAATAAATTCATGATTTGTTGATTACTTTTGAAGCATATATATATAGTTCTGTTATATATGTAGTATTTGATTTGATTTTGTTATTATTTGGAACCGTCTTTATATTTAAGTGATGATGATTATTATTATAAACTTTAAAATGATGGTTTTTTAAATGTTTTATCTGGTGGGAGAAAGTGTATCTAAAATCATTCTGATGATTAAATCAATGACGATAGTATGAAGTTTAAGATTTAAAATTCATAATCACTTGTTAGATTTTATAGTTAGGGTTTAAGGGTATACTCTTTTTTGGAGATAGTTATCTCGTAGAAAAAATAGAAAACTTTTTGAGATCATTTGACTCTTCCCATTTAATGAACGGTTGAGTGTCTCTCGTCTAGAATCTTTTATGCTTTTAGGGTGTGTTTATTATTTCTTTTGATTTGTTTTCTAAGACTTTGATGACCTAGAATTTTGAGAATGGGGCATTGACATAATATGGAATAGTGTCCCGCAGGCCCTAGTTAGCAATGTTAGGTTATGCCTTTGTTTAGAGGATATTTGTATGAATTCCTTCTTTTTTGGATAACAATTATAATGTTATCCTCAACGGATTCGATGGAAAAGGTATGTATAATGGTTCTTATAAAGAGTCTTCGAATACGCACTATGAATGTCACACATTTTTTCTTTGTAATTTGTTAGAAAGTTATAACGTCCGACCATAGCTTGTTGTCACTCATCCCCCTTCCCGTTGTCGGTGGATGATGAAGACTCGTCATGACACTTGTTCTCCCTTTCTCTATCTTGCATCTCTATCTTGCAGACTCTAGCCTTAAGAGTAAGTAGCATACGTTATGTCTGTCTTCCTTATTTTATGGAAACCATAAATGTAATGATGGTTTTAATGGGAAACAAGACTCTCTTAAATATTGTATTGTTTATACATTAGTTCACTTGCATCTTTTAGGATCCTTAGTTGTTAATTGATGGGTTTGTAGGCATTTAATTAAATCAATTGAAGACATGTTTAAGAAGGAGTAATTGTTCCTTTTCCATTATTTTTTATTTTTCATTCCTCGTATTTTAGGTGCCGGAACTACATCCTAAATAGGAAGAAAATATTGTTAGAGCTTGATCTAGTTTCTTCCTTTTCAGAATTCCTTTACGAAGTGATCCCCTTTTACTTATCTTCATTTACAAGTGAGTTTTGTTTTTCTTTGTGTTCTGGCTATTTCAAGTTATTGTTTCTTTCACTGTTGCGTCATTTGTGTCTATCTAGTGCTACAAAGTTGTCAGATTGTTAGATGTCTTTGCCTTTATATGTGGTGGTATCTCTTTTATCGGTGAACGCTCCACCATATTGCCCCCTCCTCACTATCTGAGAGATGGTTGAAATAAAAATATAAGTTATTGAAAAAACCTTAGGGACTATCAATTTAATTAAACATTTGGGTTTAAAAAGGGAGAAAATAATGTGCTCTTCAACCCTTTCACATGAAGTGAAAGAGTGGGTACAAAAGAATTTTCTCATGCTCGTTCTTTCTTTTTATGTGGATAGGTGGAAAATGGTTAAAATGGTAAAGTATATTTTCAAAGGGTTAGTCGTGGATCCAAGAATGGCTGCCCAACATGTTTATGCGAACATTGACTACCTAGATTGTTGGACTTAAGACTTCACACTTAATAGGGAGTGGTGAATTGTGTGGTTTAGAAAAATATGATTTAAAAAAATTGCGAAATAAAACCAAAGTTTAAAAACATTTTTTAAATATTTAGCAGCAGAGATAAAAAACAAAATATAAATTGCAAAAAATTAAAGAGTTAAGGAAAAGAGATGAACACCACGATGTATAGAGGTTCGGTCAAACAAAGAAATAACATACTCCTCTCTCCAAAAATGACCTTGATAGTATCTAATAAACGTTGAAAGCTTTTAGTAGGAAAGACTCATGAACCCTCTTATACAAGGAAATAAGGATTGACCTTTAACCAAATAATACAAGACTTCAGTATATAGCCATTTGAGTCTTGTCTTACAAACAACAGACTGAAACGGTTAGTCTTCTCTCCACATGATAGATTAAATTGGTCAATCTTCTCTCCACAAACAAGGATCTTGGAGTGGTTAGTCTTCAAGTTCCTTAAACCTTGCAAGATTTTGCACGAGTCAAGCTCACGAACCTTTAAACCTTGGTTTTAAACAAGATATCCAATAACTTGTGAGATTTTAATATCGGGATAATCTCAAACTTATGAAGGTTTTAATACCTGGATGAGCTTAAATCTATCTTGGTTTTAATACCATACTAACCAAGAACCTATGAGATTTTATAACAGTCTAATCTCAAACCTAAAATCGGAACTAAATCACGCAATCCCATACCAAAGCTTTTTACAGGTTTAGCTTATAACCTTCAAATAATCCCTAAATGGATAATATTCTACCAACGTGTATGTATACTAAAGATTTCCTTGGTGAATATACAATTCTATCTATCTATAACTAAATAATAATCTCACTCACAAAAGGACTTTTCTCACAAAAACACTTAGGTTTAAAATATTAGTGAGAGAAAGTAAACAAAATGTTTAGAGAGAGAGGGAGACTGGTTGTGTCAAAACACGGTTCTGGATGAAATGAAATGAGAAATGAGACCTTTATTTATAGAGTAAAGTGAAATTCTGGTATACCGATCTCAGATGTCCCAAGAGATGTCGAGACATTGATCTCTGCTTAACTAAACAAGGACAGAATACTAACATTCAGATATCTCAAAGTCATAACAATGTCATGACAAATGTTTCAACATCTGTTTGAACATATATTTGAGAATATAAGAATAACTGAAATATACAACAGAATGATAAAAAAACACCAAAATATGATGACCCAGTTCGGTGTACAACAACACCTACATCTGGGGGCTACTAAGTCAGGAACGAATTCACTATTAGTAGTATTAATCCATAGCTAAACAACCTCCGGTTTACAACACCTTACTTAATCCCTACCCAATGCAACTTCTACCTAGAACCCCATCTAGATAATAGAAACCCATCTCAATTCCTAAATCACATTAGTGATATCTAACAGTCACAACCTCCGGTGACTGTATCAAACTGTTCAATTGAAAGACAACCCTTTCAATATAATATTCAGTCAATACTCATGACTAACACTAATACTTGAATTTGCTTAAAAGTTTCATCCAAGAACAATATACAATTCATTACCTACATGTTTCTGAATATGAAAACTATATCTACCACAATGTATCAAACCTGATACAAAGGATGACATACAATACAAGAAAGCCACACGACTCTCAAAACCCTAAAACCTTATTTTTACTTTACAAAAGTCTTAACAAGGAATCATTAATTGCTCTAGGTCTTGGTCTTCCTTTTACAATCTTCAATAGTCCACAGGCTTCAAAATCTCTGCCCAATCATTCCTTGATCCATGTTCTAATTGCATCTTAAATCTTGGAACAAATATGCAACAAACCTACATTATCAGACCAAGATGTCGAGCCCTTAAGATAGGACATCTTGTCTGACATGTTATTCTCTACAAATTTCTTCATGTTAGAACATCTTGTTCAACATCACGTTTTACCAAAATTTGGTCAAATCTTAAAGCCTTCATAGAGGTTGGCTCAAAAAGGAATTTCAAATAAATGACTTTTATGACAATCTAATTGATAGACACATGTTCATAATCGATTAGAAATTTGAAATATAATCGATTTTAAGTTTTAAAAAGGAAAGAAAAGATATCTAGCTG